CTTCTCCTGTTATGATGAAACTGGCGAACAATGGATATATCATATAGCCTACACGTTTCTTATATTTTAGTTATCACGTGTGAGTCACAAATACTTATTTGACTCCACAGTATTATGTAGTGCAAGGAAAATGTTTTTATTTCTCGTTACGAGGTGTTACTGCATTGTGACTGACACGAGAGAACTTGATTTCGTTCTCATATACTTCTGTTAACTCTATTTATATTTTCCTTGCAGAAAAGCATTAATTGTCTGAAATATCCTGCTGGCAGCTAACTGGTCAGGTTTAAGATCCACCCCTCCCCCATCGCGTCTTCTTTCTATGGGGGGATGTTCCCTGCATTATACAGAAAGAGATGTAATCCCGTTTGAATCTCATATCCATATATTTTCCTTTTCTTAAAATAGAAGACGTGAGTATTATGTTGGTATTCCTCTGTCTTTATTAGTATTTAGTCTTCAAGAGCTAATAATATTAAAACCTGCCAGGTTTTCTGTTTCTGGTAATGAGAACGCGTACAGATGGTTTAATCCCTCTGATGATTGCTGGGCGAAGTGTCTTTCACGCTTAACTGTGACGAGGAAATTCAACCCTCTCTCTCGAGGAGCTGTGGGGGTGCCAGTAATTTAATGTTGTAGATTTACCCTCCGCACACGATCAATACTGGAGTCACAGGGGAGTGAAAATATCTTATGATGAAGAAAGCGATAGTAAGGATTAGTTAATGTTGGTAGATTCTTGGACTCTGTTCTACAAGTAGATCACTTTGTTTCGGGAGCTGGATCCACTGCCATCTTCAGGTGAGGGGTGCCTGCTCAGGTGGGTCCGCTAGAGGGGGCTAGTACCAATTATTGGGTGATTGCAAAGTGATATGGGTAGACACAGTGTTAATTAAAGCTGTTTTGTTTACGAATGTAGTACTGATTATGCACAGTGAGCTGGGAAATTTTTCTTACAGTAGGTATATCCAAAAGATGCGTATTTTGTTAATTATTTCGTACCTTATGGACTAACTGCATAGAATACTTGACTTGTTCCAAGTCTTAGCTGCCTCAACCAGGAACCCCGACAGATAGGTTTTTGTCTTCTTTCCAGCATTTTATTTTATGACGAAAGTAGAATCCACCTTCTGAAACGTTGATAGCTGTCTTGTGGGTTGTAGTACCATGCTGTCTGATAGACGTTTACCAACATCTCAGAGGTCCTTGTTGCCTGCCTCCATCATTCTTATGATGGAGGCAGCTATCTTTGTATTCTCCGCTGTGGAAACCTAAAATCCTGTTCCGAAACGTTGTTCTATAATTTTATAATTTAGACGATGGATAAAGTCCATATTACATCGCTTCAACGTCAGAAGCCTTCAAACTTGACTAGAAATGATGTAGATCAGTGGTATTCAACCTTTTTTGTTCGCGTACCTCCAGATATAATTTCTCTTCATCTTTGTACCCCCAAAGTTGTTGGTGTATAATTCAAGTTATACATAGTATATAATTTACATCTAAAATAAATTAAATAAATTACATTACTGATTATTCAGTGTTTATCATAAAATAATATATATTTTTTAAATTTCACGTACCCCCTAAGATGCCTTCGCGTACCCCCAGGGGTACGCGTACCCCAGGTTGTGACCACTGATGTAGATAATAAACTAAAGGTTTTGGCTTGTTGGGTATGACTGCGTGATTGTGACACACGTGTGTCTAAACATCACAACCTACAATAAAGTCATGTGAAGATGGAAAATTATGTTAATACCCAGTAAGAAATGTTAAGATATTTTAGAATAAAAATGGTGAAAAGAAATGACTGTGCAGTATTTTAATTACGAAATTTGTATCATTAGTAAGGATAGGAGAGAAGGCATATTACGCAAGACATTTGCTGAAGTACATTATGGGAGTTATCATGCAAGCACGTGCACAGAAATGTCCATAATTTGCCTTAAAATATGTATCCTCTGTGGAGAAGGCATTTTATTCATGGCGTGTGCTGAAGTGTATTATGGGAATTATCGTGCACGCACGTGCAAAGAAAATGTACATGATTTGCCAAAAATGATATACCTTACAAAGTTTAAACGTCGTCTTAATAAATATATTTATGTCTAGTCAGTAATGTCGGAATATGTCTGAAAACCGTATTTAATTTTAAAGTATTAACTTTGAGTAAAGCTCCGAAGTACCTAATTTAACCACAGTTAGCCAATGCAGATCGGTCGTATTTATATGAATCATTTAAACAGGAGGAAGACCTAGCAGATTGTACATTACCACAGTCACTGCCCTTTGTTTTATTCTACGGGCGATCTTGGTCTCAGTTTGGTTTGTCAGCATGAAAGTTTAGTTCTTTGGCAGTCCAGTTGCAAAATGTGAAATTTCAGGTTCTCACGGCAGCGAGTATGAATGGGTTACTGCACCATGTAGTCTCGTAGAATTTGACCTACGTTTCAAATGTGCGTACTGCCTCGATCAGGGCGATGAAGGCAGTATGGCACAGAGTCACAGAAGGTTCTTATCTTTAAGATGCAAATTCTGTAACAGGCAAATTACTTGTTGTACCCAAGACACTCTTTAAAATTCTGTCCGAAATAGTTCAGCAAGATAATTACAAAAATGAATATTCCGTGTCTGAAGGAAAGCTGTATTTACTTGGAGTGAGTTAATGTGTGGCAGTTGAACTAGAAGGCCCATTAAACGCACTCGTACAATGTGAAATATCTTTTCGGTTGAATCTAGTTATTCTTGGTTATTAATTACCCCCTCAAAATAACAAAACTTAGCGTCACTTACGTGGAATTCAATTTTTATCCCAGGCATCGGTTTCTGCGAAGTAATGAATGAAATTACCACATTACATGTCGCATTACTTCCATCATATGACGAACCATGGGACATATAAAAAAATTCTCTGGAAGCAAGTCGACGCTATTAACAAAGTAGATAAAATCCTGTTAAATTCTAGGAAAGTGACGCATGCTACAATTTGCATGTTGTTAAAAGAAGTGTATATTAACTTTTATAAAAACATCATATAGGCATATATTATATTTAATTGACCGGTATGTGTTGTTTGTCGAAAGGACAAACAAAACTGAAGACCTTTGTTTCGTACAGTCTGTTTTGTTGACTATGTTGTTGCATAAATCGTGTTACAAATGGGGGGGGGGGTCCATAACACCGGCTATAATCGGCTAACATAACAACAGCATGCATTATATCATTAGTGCTAATGACTCGGTCTCTTGTCCGCTACATACGATATTGATTTCAGTTCTGGTTTCTGATTGATACTAAATGGAAAGATACCCAATCGAGGACAACGGATAAACGGAAGAAATAAATAAAGGAACATGAGAAGAATACGGATAAACAGGGAAAAGCGAGGAGGCGAATGGAGCTGGAAAACAAAAGAATGCATGACTAAAGAAGAAAGGAAGGATAATGTAAACCGAGCCAAGAACTTATATAAACGAATTTAAATTTTTTTGGTACAGAACATAGATATCCTGTTTGTTAGCAATATTTATTCGTGAAATAAAGAGAGAAGCGATTGTAACTTACCATGGTTTGTCAGGACGTATAAGCTCGTGATATAATTTTGTCTGTATATTTGACATTTCATTTAATTCCACGAAGAAACTTCAGTCAGGCAGTCCACCCAAATTTAAGAAATACGCAAAATAGAGCGAGGTAAATCTGCTAGATTCGTTATTGGAACGTCAAGATTAAGCGAGGAAAACTGATAAAATATAGGATGATGAGATAAAATGAAAGGGTAGAAAGTTAATTATCGCAGGATTACCAACTCCACCACTTCATTCCTCTGAAATTTATCGTTTTCTATAAATGATGAATTCCAATGTAAGGATTTGAATACAGAAACATGATGGTGCAAAATAAAAGTAGATCTGTTAGGATTTTTTTTTAAAAAAAGAACATTTACTTCTATTCATTTTCAAAAGTCAGTGCTTTGTCTCGGCAGTGACGTCATTGCTGCTTGCCTTTGTTCCGACGTGTCGGATGAGCGCCGGTGTTGTCTGGCGAGGGTCAAAGCTATAGCAAAGCCAAACTGCCAGTCATAAACTGCGATTTACGAATTTAGTTGGCTCACTAAACGGCGAAGTGAGGTTTAGGTATGCTGTTTTTATGTATCAGGATTAGGAGTGACAGTCACCAGTATGTGACCCAGATTTATTATATGTTGAAACACGAGAATTTCTTGGAAACAAAGACTTTTGATACGAGATACTTAATTTAAAATTTTATTTATGTATTTCAAAAGAAACAGCGAAGAATTGCTGAAAAGAGAACGAGACACGCAAAACAATTGATCGAATATACTGTCAGAAATCGAGAACCGTTTCATCGTAGGATTATTAAGTGAGATTTGAGGTTATCACGGCAGCGAGTATGAAGACGACTTTTTTCTGGCATTTAGCGCCGTGTAATCAGGTACAGGTTTACAAAAGTTTCAGACGTGTTTTCTGTCAGAGTACTAGGCGTGGCGTCCCAGAAAGTAGCAATCGTTTCAGGATTAAAAGGTCACACTGAGCTGTTCACTTACATCTGCCTTATAAATTAGTTCTGGAGTGCAGCAGAATGTTACGAAGATCAAAAGAAATAATAATTATAAAATTGCTAATTGAGGAAACCACTTCTGTACAAGTTGAAGCAATTCTTTCTGTAAAACTTCGAGAAATTTTTAGACATCAGAGAATAATAGTGTGAATATGATCTAAAACCTTTAGCCTGTCCACGTTTGTTGACATGGGTCTGAAATGTTTATTAAAACACACAGACGTATTAATTTACTCTTCATTAGTTTTACCATAAATTAATTTGGAAGTTACTATACGTTATAAAAGTTTAACGACCAGCTCGAGGTGGATAATGGATTCGTTATAATCATTCACCCGGCCACATATAATTTACCGCTGTAAAACCTCACCACTTGACACGGCGTCGCGTAAACATGAGATTCATATTGCACGTACCTCCTTCAGGAGGGACCCGTTCAGGACGTGTTTGTTCATCTGAGCTATAGGCGGATTGTCGTCTTCGTCCAAGACCTTTATTCGGACGGTCATCCCCACTTCGCTGATCGAACGCCCCCTGTTGACGGTGCAAGTCACGTGGACACGCAGTTCTGGTCCGGGACCTGACGCTCCGTTTCCATCCGGCCCGGTGTCCCTGTCCAGGAGTTCTCGGCTTTGTAGGGACACGCCATCGCTGGCAAGACTTGCGTACTCCGTCCCTGTCGATCAGAAAACATTTGTATTTAAGGACACACTGTGTAGGTTGTGTTAAGTGAGATTCGAGGTTCCAAAAGCGGTGAAGACGATGTTCTTCTGGGTTGTGACGTCGTGTGGACTTGTATGTAGGTACCAACAGTCTCTATCGTCATCCGAAAATACACGATCCGGAACAGCAGAGACATCTTTATCGCCATGAGAATATAAAATCTCAAATACCTCAAAATGTGTTAATTATTTTTAAAACATTTAAAGAGTCTATTTATATGTGATTTGGAGACTTTACATATATTTTTCAGTGAAAGATTACATTGAACACGTATAACATGCTTGTAGAAGTGTGATTCAGAGGTAATACAGGAATAAATTTAGAACCAAGTTACTAAGGAGTCCGTATAGGAACACAGAACTTCTGGTCTCGTTAAAAATCTAGAAAATATTAAATTACAATACAAGATTGAGGATCTGGAGTGGCTTAATCTGGCTAAGGAAACCTTGCGAACACGAAATGAATCATCGGGATACACAGGGGAGGGGATCCAGCGACTCTCAGCTTCTCAGAAATTAGCCTTCACCATGAACTTAATTGCCTTGTGCAGAAGGAAGTGAGCGTACTTACCGTTAGTAAGATTGTAGGCGAAGGAGTAGTGTGGGCATATCTTGGGCATGAAAGGAGGTCCAAGAGGACCCAGTACAGTGGATCCTTGGTTCTCGTACACCTGGTACCTCATAGCTCTCCAGAAACACAGGTCCTGTGATTACGAAAAGAGAAAAGTGCTTTACTGCAACGCGTGGATGTTTCTAATTTAAATTTTAAAGTTTTCAGGCAGTTTAAAGTTCCTTCGAAAAGAACGAGTGAGGTGCTGTATTCCAGGTCGGGGAGCACATGTGTTCCAGATGAGTCCTTTATGTGTCAGCATACATAATTGGCCTTGACATTATTTATTTCTCTGCCCTCATATGGCATGTCTTGTTCTGCCGTTGTTGAATCGGACGTGAACTGAATTAATGGCTTAATACCTGGAGAGACGATGAACTCCGTTAGTGAGTAAACTGTGATCAACCTAACAGTGTTCGTAGAAGAGTAAAAATTACGTTGGTTGACTTTTTGTGAACGTCTTAAGGCATGCCGTCCTGGTTTCTACTAATCACGATCAAAAGCCAGGCAGAGCCACTAGCTAGTAGATTGTACAAATGTTTATATGGAATTGATTTATAGTCAGCGATGTATCTCCGAAGAATTGCTATGCGGAGGATAAATAATTGATGTAAATCAAGTAATAATAGTTTGCAGTTAAGTTTACGTCTTGTCACACCAGCTGGTCTCATCGCAGTGAGTAAAGGTCTTTCGTTGTGTGAGGAAAACCGAAGAACACACAAACGACTTAAGCTGTGAATGACCGAGAACGGGCTGTTTGGTAAATATCCAGAAATACTTATAAAATGCTTATATTAAATCACGTGATGGGTTACGTAAAAATGTAGCCATGTGAAATTGCTATATACGTTAATTGATGACGTTATATTAATTTCAGAAATGTTGGCAGTTAGAACAATCGAAGGTGCTTCAAACAGTGCTGCTGTGGGCTGTCTCAGTACTTGGTATCAGGATGTCATGTTCATGGGTTGTTTAACGACGCTGTGCCGTTTGTAAAGTTGTATATCGCGGAATATAATCAAAATATCTTCATGTTGATTGATATTCTAGATATTTGATGAAAAAGTAACAATACTGCTCCATGCTTTTAATTTACAACACATTAATTTAATATCACTTGGCGTTTGTACTTGATATGGAGTCGTTAAATAGTCTGAAGATGAGGTCAAGTTAGGGATGGAGAGAAACTAAAAACTTTTTTTTTTTTTGAGTTTTGGTGCGAGAAAAGAGAAGTAAGATTTTGACGGAAATTAAGCGCCACTTAGTTCTGACCTGCTGAAAAGGTCGTAATGCATTTCAGGCATTGTAAGTCAAAATCAAGTCCTATCATCAGCCTGCACTCAGCATTATAAAAGGCAATGAGGCAATCTTCAATACTCCAGTCATCCGTCAGTACAAATCCCTGTCTAAATCCATTTGCTTAAGCTTGCCATCCACCCTAACTAATCCCTTGGAGCAGAATCGTTGAGATCCTGATATTGCTCATTTAGGAAAAAAGTTCTCCGGTTTTTATTGACCCAGAAGGCTCATTGTCACGTTCACAAGAGCCCATCGCCTGTCTCTGCCCCGAGTCAGTTCAGTCTACATCATTCCACATTATTTCCTTAACATACATTTTAAAATTATTCTACCATCTACAACCTAGGTTTTCCGAGCGAACTCGTCTTTTCTGACTTTCTAGCCAGAATTGTATTTGTCCATCCATTTGCCAACATTTGTGCCTGCTTTAAAGTTCATTTTATCTGTCAATCGACAAGGTATTTATCCACCCTCTCTTTCACCCGTCTTTAGAACGCCGATCTTGCCTACCTGAGCACTCAGCTGCTCGCACTTCGACGACTCAACAAGCGTGACATCGATGACCATAAGAGGCAAGGCATCTGCCGTGTCTAGCGCCCTGACTTCCAGCGATAACTTGCGACCTGCAAAAGAAGTCAGAGCTCACATTATCGGAAATCAAACCATTTATCGCCCTGATGATGGGGCGTCAGAGATAAACTTTGTAGTGTGAAAAAATTTAGAGCAATGAAATCGTAGTTTAGATAAAGAAAAAGTAATATAGTATTTTGTATGGAGCACGATATTGGAACATTTAAAAAAAGTTGTCAGTGGAACCACGGTTCCGGAGAATTAGACGTAAATACGTCTATACGGAAAGGAAGTTTATATATTGGCTTTATCCTAAATATTTCCTTTATACATGCTTTACAATTGAGATAAGTTTGATTAAGACTTTGCTTATTTAACTTGAATTAGTTACGCTTAAGATGAGTCTGTGGTAGCTGAATGTAATGTATTTTAATGTAATGTAATGAAATGTAATGTAAGTAAATGTAATGTAACGTTTCCTAGGTAACAACAATGCCGAGTAAACAGATGAGGTTTCCTAGGTAACCATTGTTACACTTTTTTGCCGAATGACCCTTCCTTATAGACGTATTTACGTCAAAAAAGAAATAAATCCTACAAAAGGGAAATGCTCAAATAAAATGCCTCCGCGGTTCTGATGTCAAAGGCAAATACTTAATTCTTACCATTGAACAGTTGACTGACGATTTGTCAGCAGAAATGTCTATTTTTAGATCTGAAGTTTCATGTCGCGTTGCTCGGACATAAAAATAATAGATCTTGGAAACAGTAAGAAAAATCGACGTCTTCTGAAACGTTCGAAATTGGTACAAATGTACAAAAAAATATGATTGTACATTGGTCATTGTTTCCCAAGATTTGTTTGTGAATCTCGATGCTTCTCTTAGTGCGCTGCATTGTATTTTCTTGTGTTCTTTCTTTTTGATTCTTTTTCAACCTTTTCCCCAATTATATTCTAATGTTGAATTTTCCAACTTCTCTTCTTATTCTTCTTATTATCATCATTACCATTATTTATTCAAGGAGGATGAGATAGGCGGAGCATGTAGCGTGCATTGGGAGAAGAGAAACGCGTACACAGTTTTCATTGGGAATCTTGAAGAGCGGAGACCATTGAGGAGAACCATTTGTAGGGGAAAGTATAATATTAAAATTGATTTTTGGAACTCGGGGTGGGAGTGAGTGGAATGGATTCATCTGTCTGAGATTAGCACCCAGCGATTCCAAGAACCCCAGCAGATTAAGGCGTATTATGCCTGGGTATGATTAACCATGTAACGTCCAGTGGTAACTATATGTACCACATGGTTTTACATTCAGTAGCCTGGAATTTTGTATTTATGGTTTTTATATAATTTTTAGAATAAACAGGGATTATTTCCTCAAACAGCGTCAACTGTTTGATCTTTGTGATGGAAATATTTTTTTTCTTTGCGGTATGGACTGAGTTCTTAAATATTATTTATACGAGCTTCAACTTGAAATGGCTGGTTCACGTCTGATAAACTGAAGTCTAGTGAAGGGATACATCGCTTCCTATAAAACTTAGATATTCTGCTATTCAAATATTCTGCTATTCGAATTTTATACTTGATTGTTATAGTTGCGAATGTCACATAAAGTAGATGCCAGACTTAGTAAGTAATTGAACGACGGTCTGACAGATGAAGGGGCGGTCTACGAACCAGCAAACTGACAGACTGAACCCCGCGGGTGTTGCATAGAACGTTCTCCACGTGGCTGTAAAGGAAAGAATTTCTACAGTCCTGTCGGGGTGCGAACCAAATCCGTACAATCCGTGGACAGTCATGTTACTGACTGAGCTGTTGTTGCCATGTTAGAAGAGGCCTCGTTCTTGCATTGTGTTCCGAACACAAAGAAAATTCATACCTGTGTATTGTGCAGTGCGCAGTCTGATCTTATTATGCAGGTGTAGCGCTCCCGTAGCTTTGTTCAAGCTGAATATGTGCTCTGCCCCCTTCGTTGCCAGGGTGTAGGACGGCGAACGTGCCCCTAGGGACAGTGCTCGTACCACTGCTAGCGGCTCAGAGATCGGGATGTCCACTGGTACTGCTACTTCGACAGCGGGCATTGGCGAGTAGAGACCTCGTACTGAAACAGACGAATCAGAAGTTAGCTGGGACTACTGAATCGAGGTGTGCAAGAAGATTGTTTAGCATATGCAGACGGTCTCCAGAGATAGGACCAAGGCAGAGGCAGATCAAATCGACTCCGGATCTCTATTCTCTCATATCTGTAAAATGGAACTTATACTGAAGTCCCTTCTGTACGGTATGCTACCTTCTGAGATGTGTGCTGATGCTTTTACCATTGGCAGGGCGATCAAAGATAATACTTGTTGACGTAAGCACAACAGTGACAGTGAGCTGCATCACGTATCAGAATCGATGCCCGAATAACAGTTGACCCAGACAACCGGGCGGTTACGAGCAGGTGTACAAATTCCATGTCGCTGGTTTGTTACCATCTTCACAGACGGCGTACAAATTGAAATAAATTTAACTTCAACAAGAAGATTCTGGGTGGGAAAGTAAAGAGAGGAAGGTGTGGAGAAGGAATAAGGATAACGAAGACTTGGAACGAAAGGAAACAAACTAAAATAGACGGTGAATGAGAATGAAAAGGACGCAGACATAAATTGGTCCTGGGGAAGGGAGGGCAAGGTGATCCAGTTCCATCGTTCAAATTTCTTTTCACCTACTCTGTAGAATTATTGCATAACTTTGCACATGTGGTAACGTGTCGGTTGGAATTAGTTGCGTTGCTGAAGACAGAGCTCCAAAGTCGTCGATAAGGCAATCGGCGTGAGTTGAGGTTTAGTGTTATAAGTGTTTGGTGTTGGTTCAGTTCATTGGGCCAGGATCCAAGATGCAACGATGAACCTTTTTCATTAAAATCATTTATTACTGCCCTCTGGTTTCCCTAAGTATCCGAGTCCCGTACACTGCCACAAAATTCGTGTTCTTGTGGAAGTAATCGAAATATTGGCACATTTAACGTTTCTCACAAGGAAAACATTTCTTAGAATAGTAAGGGAGTGAAGGTTATGTTGGGAGGCTGAAGTGTTTACCAGTGGAACACTTCTACAGTTGATTTATTTAATTATCTAATAACAACAATACTTCAATTGGGGACAATTTATTGAACCGCACGATACAAAAAGAAAAATTAAATTACAGGCAACCATTGAAAGGGAAACAAAGAGAGAAAAGCAAACACACAAGTTACAAAAAGAAAAACAATTCAGGGAAGTACAATAAGAACTACAGATAGCTCTACAACAGTTTATAGCTAGTCAAAATAAGTCCTAAGGAATCCGGAAAATAAAAAATAAGTTAATAAATAATAGTAAAAGGGCAAAATATATCAGTGAGTGTAAACAACCTTAATTCTACATGTACATAGTCTTGCACATTGCATTGAAAGATATTATGGGGTAATAATAATAATAATAATAATCTTGAAATACAAGGACCTTCTCATAGAAATACAGAGAATGTGGAAAGTTCAAGCAAAAGTGATCCCAGTAGTTATAGGGGCAACAGGAACTGTCTCCAGGTCGCTCAG